TTTCACATATATTATGATTAAAAGTGAAAGTGAGGCTCATAATTTTATATTAACTAATAACATAATTGAAGGTGAAAGTATGATTAACTAATCATTTTTCGTGTCTCTAAGTAGTAACTATTTACAAACTATTTTGAAAACTATTTAAAATATTAAAAAAGTCATTATTAAAAAATTAATTATTGTCTTTACTTTTTTACACTTTTTTTTGTTAAAAAAAAATTAAAAATATTAAAAAAAATCAACTTATTAACTTATTGACTTATTCAGGTCATATTGCTATTCTATTTTTCTGCACGTCTTTTCATAATAAGTAAAAAATCAATTTATAAATTATACTCAAAACAACCCTAAAATAACTAGTTTTCAAAATAACCCTAAAAGCGGCGAATATCAAAAAACCACCTCCAAATTTATCAAATGCAATATAATACGGCAAATGCTCACTTGTTATTCTTTAGAATGTGAGAAAAAATGATTTGGAAAAGTATACAAAGATTATATAATTCATAAAAAAATGTGTTAAATTTAATGATAAGTGTTTAAGGGTTTACATTTTTTGTTATTTTGTTTTAAGAATACTTGTTAGCAAGAAGATCCTTGCAACGGATCAAGTGCCCCTAACACTAGTTAAGGTGCATTTAATGTGGTATTAAATTGTTTTAATTTTGATAATTTCTAATTTTAAAAATGCTAGAGGCTTCAAAAATTCTACCAAAAGTTTTACCAAATGTCTCACATGGGTGTGGGACCCACATGGGACCCACATTGTGTGGGTCTCACACCCATGTGAGACATTTGGTAAAACTTTTGGTAGAATATTTGGAGTCTCTAGCATTACTCTTCTAATTTTAACTCTGTATCAAAGTGATAAGTTTCTAATTTGAGTTATACTAGGGATTCCAAATAAGTTTCTAATATGTGTGGGTCTCACCAATTGTAACATAAATTTCAGAATATAAACCTTACACTTTGGATCATTTACCATGTGTATTATCAAGAAATCAAGACAAAATGACATACCTGAATCCATTGATGAACGGTTAAACGGAAGCGTGATTATCAATGAACTCTTTGTTATTGATTATGTTATTGCCTTCTAATCCTTTCCCCTTTGGTGCCTTATGTTTCTCCTTGAGAGGATTTAGAAAGAAAAATGGCAGTGTTCTTATTTTTTTTATGATGTTCAAAATTAAACCGATCAAATCGCAAGATATATTTATATATATATAAATACATGATGTTCATCCATTTGAGAGAGAAAAAAAAAAACTGCCCACCGAATCATGTTACAATTCCAGAAAACAGATTGCCATTTTCACAGAACAAAACAGGAAAAAACAGAATTTACATCCATAAGAAAATTCAGAATCTGATTCCAGGAAACTAAATAGAATGAATAAAGCATATCAATTCTGATAAGACACATGATATGCTGGTTTTGATACCAAGGTTTGATAGAAAAATTAATAATTTATTTGTGGTCCATAACATTTTCCTTATAATTTTGGTAACCCATTAAATTGAATGGATTTAGTATTGCATGTTTCAATGACTTTTGAATTTGGGAGAATTGCAAAAAAAAAAAAAAAAAAAAAAAAAAAAAAAAAAAAAGGTACCAACACAAAATAATTACAATGTCGTGAAAGTACAAATAATTTATGCATTAGATTGTGTAACTAAATGTTATACTTTTATTTTTTTGCAATAATTTTGAGTTTGTGTCATTTTCTGCAATTGTCCTTTGAATTTGAATGCAACTACTTTGTAATTAATTTTTTACATTTTCATGCATAAAAGTAATTATTATTTAATATTTAACAAACTCCAATACTTAATAAAATATCATTAATTATTTCTTAAATAATTCTCCAATGATACTTATTAACATGGCTCATTATTTTAAATAAGTTTGTTTTTATATTTCTATCATTTCTAGCCTGTGTTTGGTTGAGAGATTTGCAAAGGAAAAGAAAAAAAGTATGTGAAATTAAAGGATTGTTTGGGATGACCTAAATAAGTGTATTTTTTATCTTTTTACGAAAATTTTATCTTTTTTTCATCATATCACTTCTCTACTTTTTATTTTTTTACGAAAAGATGTGCAGAAAAGTAGAGAAGTGATATGATAAAAAAAGATAAAAAAATAAAAAAATGGATTATATTGGAGGTGTCAAACTTGGCCTAAGTAAAATATAAGTATTTTATTCATATTTCATTTACCTTTTCACTTTTCTTTTTAAATTTTTTTTTTTCAAATCTTCCAACTAAACACAAACAAGAATTAAATTAGAGAACAAAATTGAAATATTTTTATCCATTGATAATTAAATAAACACAATTTGGATATTAAAAATTTTCCCCTCAAAATAACATAAATAACTCACTTTGAAAACTAAAAAAATAATAATAATAATGAACTCATATTTGTTTTGGAGGCTGAGTGCTGCCTACGAACATTAGGAGGAGAGTGGTAGCAGTAAGCGTGTGGATCATGAAAAAAGCATCTTCCGCATATAATTGAACCCATCATATCCATATGAACGAGGTCGATATCTCTTGGCTTCTCCTTTTCTTACTTCTTTTTTATTTTTTTATTTTTATTTTTTATTTTTTATTTTTTTTTCCCTTTTTCCTGCCCATAAGATCATCTCTAACCTTTCACCAAACCTAATATTAAATTTGAAATTTAGTGAAAAAAATATTATTTGGTGCTCCAATGATTTTATCAAATCGAGAATTTACCAAACGTTTCACCAAAAGGAGGACAGGCTCTGCATTTCATCAAAACACTGTGCATGACCGTTGGGGGAGACCAACCGGTCGACCACCAAAAGGTTCAAACAGTTCCAAAAAAGTTCAAACAGTTGACAAAAAAAAAATTTGCCATACCGGTCGACCAGTCGGTTGACCGGCCGGTTCAAAAAAAAAAAAAAATTTGGCTTCACCGGTCGACCAACTGGTTATCCCGGCACAGATTTGATGAAATTTGTTGAAAATCAACCGTTGGAGCACTCGGTATCAGATTGAGGAAAAAATTATTTTTTTACTCAGATTTGATGAAAATTTTGATTCAGGATTGGAGATGCTCTTACTATCTCCATCTTTGACTTCAAAACCAATCACCTTCTTTGCTTTAAATTGAGGAATTGGGAAATATTATTTTAATAATTTTTTAATTAAAATATAAGAAAAAAATTAATATGGTTGAAATAATATTTTAATTTTTTCAAAAAAAATATGCAAAGAATAGAGAGAAAGTAAAATAATTGATTTTTTGGTGTAAACTATTGGTTTTTTAATTTTTGTAGTGACTTTTTAACTTTTAAGTTAAAATATTAAATTGACAAATGATACTTGATTTTTTTTTAAATTAAATATTTTTTATTTTTTAATTCACAAACATTAGAAAGTATAGTATTAGAACAAAAATGATGCTTAAAATCAATCTCACAGTACCAAAACCGAGTAAGGTGACTAATTGTGATTATTTTTTTTTTTTAGAGTGGACTACTTTTCTTTTTTTTTTATAACAAATTGACCACATGTTATTGGTAAGAGGTTTTTATAATCAAAAAAATAAAAATAAAAATAGACAATCATAACCTACCACTTTAATCGGTTTTGGTGTAAAAATAAGCTCAAATAACACAATATCATTCGAAATTGACTTCTCTTTTACATACCAGAGCGATAGTTCAAATCTTAACACCCATAAAATATTAACTATTCCTTGTCATTGATATTAACAATGTTAATTATTTAAGATTAATACTATTAGTCAAAATCTTACATAAATGATTAACTCATGTCACACACAAAATTTTATTTCCTAAACTAGGTAATTGTAAAAATGTATTTTTGAGTAAGATATGATCAGGTAAGTTCTGAATCTCGGTTACATGATATGATATCGATCTAATAGATTGAAATTATGATATTGGTCAAATGAGTATGACTCTTACATAATGAAATTATAATGGTGATGTGACTCATATAAGAACGAAACTCTTAATGAGATTGAATTCAATATAATTAAAAATAGAAATTAATGCGATTAAACTCAATCCAACTAAGAAGAAAAATTCTATATAAGAAATACTTGTTACACAAATAAATAGGGCCTTGAATAGAAAGAAAGAAGGAACAAAACTAACGAGGAGGATGTTGGACACACTCACATAGGTTGAGGTAGATATGTTCTAGATTTTAGTTTTAAGTATTATTAATTATACGAAGAGCACACTCACATAGGTTGAGGTAGATATGTTCCAGATTTTAGTTTTAAGTATTATTAATTATTTTGGATTCAAAAAGCTGACAACTTTTCAAATATTTTGGAAGGAGAGGCAATTTTATTAGATTTGACTGTATGATCAAATTATAACAGATAAATTTAACGAAATGAAGTGCCGGTTGGGCATAATAAATATTTTGGCCATTATTATTATTATTTTAAATAAAAGTTGAGATCCTTTTTAGTTTTGATTGATCAATTTTTTTTATTTTTTTTTTCTTCTCACCTAATCCTCAATCTCCATGTGTGTGAGGGGGTTGTGGGGGTGAGTGTTTTAAGGGAGTCTAAATCAATGCTCTATTATTTTATTTGATTTCTATATAATATTTACAATAAATTATAATTACAATGATGAATTATGACTCCCTTAGATTTTAATAGAAAAAATTACATATAGGTGAGAATTGGGTAAAATATTTACAAACTAATGAAAAAAAAATTATAAATTTTATTATTAATATTTATAAAAAATTTCATTAATTTGATTTTTTTTTTTTTTTTGGAAAAGCTAGTGTAGTTCCCCCGTTTTAATATGGCCGGCATTCGAATATTATAAAATAAAATGGTTCAAAATCCACAATATAATGACTTTATAAAGTCCACTCTTATTTTTTATTACATTGAATTTTTTTCTATTTTTGTCTAATCAATATATTTTTTTCCATGGAATTTCTTAAACACTGCCACCGGTCCTAAACGCCTATCCTACTCTTGTGACTCCATCGCTTTCTTGACCCTTCACATGTAAATATTCGTACATAGTCTTGAATATTCCTCTTCAATTTAGCCCAAATAATACTACACTATAATTATATATACATACATATATATATATATATATATATATATGTGAAGGTGATTGGATTTACAGGCTAAGTTGGGTTTGAATTGGAGAGTTCAACATGGGTTTTCTGGGTTTTTCATGGTGCTCTGCAATTGCTGTATTGGGTTTGTTGCTGAATGCTGTAGTTTTCTGTAATGGAGGAACCACAAGTGCTTTTGTGAGACCAGTTGAGAAAACTGTTGATATGCCTCTTGAAAGTGATGTCTTCCTTGCGCCACATGGCTATAATGCGCCTCAGCAGGTCTGTGTTCTTTTTCTCTGTTCTTCTTATTAGTTCCTCTGTCACAATTTGAATTTGAATTTGTTTTTTTGTTTTTTTTTTTTTTGAAGTATCTGTAAGGTTTTGTACTTTTTCTGGGTCTCAATCTCAATCCTTACTCAAATTTTTAATTAGATATGAGTAAAAGCTCCAATGGGAAACTTGGTAAAAATTTGAGTAATGAAGCTCTTCAATGACAAATTCAATTTGAGATTGTGATATGAGAGGGTTAAAAGAGAAATAAATGAATTGTTATGTTATCATTTTTAATAGTTGGTTTTGGGTTTTGTCTGGTTAAATAATTGGATAAAACTCAATTTGATATGGGTTTTGAGTCAAAGAGAGGAGAGGTATTTTGAGTGATTTTTTTACTCAAATTTAATTTTCAGTTTAGTGTGTTTGGATCTTGGATTTGGGGAAGTATCTGTGGAGTAAAAACAAAAACGCCCAAATCTAATATCCAAACACAGGACAGGAGTTAGGGCCAAAGATGCTTATGAGAAAAACTGGTTCTAATCTTTAATTTTGGACCATTCAAGCCTTTCTAATTCAGAATTTTGCTTTTCTTCTTGATAAATTAAATGGATTGTTTTCTTTTCTATTTAATAACTTGTTTTTGGATATTATTTTTTTATTTTTTTGCATTTATATATTTTGACTTGTGGGTCTTATGTAATTAGGTTCATATCACACAAGGAGATCATGTGGGCAAAGCTGTGATAGTATCATGGGTCACCATGGAGGAAGCTGGTTCAAGTACAGTCCTTTATTGGAGTGAGAATAGCAAAAACAAGAACAAGGCCAAGGGCACTGTAGGTAGATATAAATTCTACAGCTATACTTCTGGTCACATCCATCACTGCACCATCAAGAACTTGGAGGTGAGTTTCAACCATTTTGATCCTCTTGTTTCATCATCCGATGCACCATTTTAATTCCCTATCCCTTTTTTTAATCTATGTACCATTCTTCATTACATCATTGAGTTGAGTATAAAAATGATTCAGTTTCTTGTTTTGTTGGCAGTTCGACACGAAATATTACTATGAAGTAGGGATTGGACACACGGCAAGAACTTTTTGGTTTACAACTCCTCCTGAGGTTGGCCCAGATGTCCCATATACATTTGGTCTCATAGGTAAACTCCTCTTTATTATATCAATTTGCCGATGATTGCAAAATCTTTTGTACATGTTGAGTTAGTGTTTGATATTTGGTATGCTGTTTCTATCACCGTTCATTCAAGCTAAGGAGGCTTTGGTTCCACTTTTGCTAGACTTTTTAATGGACCATTAATTGGAGATGATTATGAGTAATGTGTTTTTTTCTTTTGAAACTTTGTGTTATTTAACTTGCTGGCTTACCATTTTGGGGGAACGCTGCGTTTCTTTCCCAAATTTTGTTTGTTTTTGTTACCAAATGAACCTCCTGTGCCTTGGTGTGTGTTTTGTTGACTGTATCAAGCAACTTTTGCAGGGGATCTTGGTCAGAGTTATGATTCAAATAAGACTCTTACTCATTATGAATCAAACCCAACAAAAGGGAAAACAGTGCTGTTTGTCGGGGACCTCAGCTATGCTGATACCTATCCAAATCATGATAATGAAAGGTGGGATACATGGGGAAGGTTTGTTGAGAGAAGCACTGCATATCAACCTTGGATATGGACTGCAGGAAATCATGAGATTGATTTCGCCCCTGACCTTGTAAGCATGGCTGCAAAATGTTTATTTGTTTTATTTGAAATTTCTTATTTGTTATTTGTGAAATTTCTCAACATGATTTCTTATTTGTCTAGTGTGAAATTTCATGGTCCATAAGTAATCTCAACATGCTTGGGAAGATGTTATACCAAAATTGCATCAATTATCTCTCTCTCTCTCTCTCTCTCTCTCTCTCTCTCTCTCTCTCATAAACCAATGGTAACTTCTAACCTTAGGCAAATAATTTGTGTCGTTGCTTTCTTTGTGAAGTATGATCCTATTTATTGTTGCATACAATTTCCAAGCTCCAAAACAGGAAAACAAAATCATGAAATTGATCTTCCTCTTCAAAACATGTCAATATGCTTTATTTCAGTGGCACAAAGCACAAAATTTGAACTTACACGTACAATAAGATGTTGATTTATTTGTATAAATATTTGGTAGGCCTTAAAATGTCTTAAAGAAAAATGTAATGTGACAGAAGAGTTGTGTTGTTTTTGCAGGGCGAAACAAAACCATTTAAGCCTTTTACTCATCGTTATCATGTCCCTTATAAAGCATCAAATAGTGTTGCTCCCTTTTGGTACTCAATCAAGAGAGCTTCGGCATACATCATAGTCTTGTCTTCTTATTCGGCATATGGTAAGAATGTTGCACATGTTTCTCAGACCTATGCTTTTAAGTTTTATATTCAATATAATGATTGGCTATCTATGGATTGCTTTTAGGCAAATACACTCCTCAATACCAATGGCTTCTGGCAGAGCTACTAAAAGTAAACAGGAGTGAGACACCATGGTTGATTGTTCTTCTGCATGCCCCATGGTACAATAGCTACAACTATCATTACATGGAAGGAGAAACCATGAGAGTGATGTTTGAGCCATGGTTTGTACAGCACAAAGTTGATGTTGTGTTTGCTGGTCATGTTCACGCCTATGAGCGATCGGTAAGAGCATTTTATCATCCATGTTATTATTTTTTAGAATATCTTCTTGTGAAAGTACTATTGTGGAGTATTGGTGGTGTTTAGCTATGTGAGACTACTTTTATGATGTAACAAATGAAAATGAGAAAGTAAAACAGAGCAATCACATAAGAACACAGATATATATGGTTCGGCTTAGCCTGTATTGAGAGAACATACCAAGAGTTTACTCCACTCACATAACCCTAATCCTGAAAATTACTCATAATATATACTATGATCTGAATACAACTAGAGTCGGGTCAGACCTAGCAGCCACAACCTGGGAATAATACGGAGACACCCCAACAACTTTCCAACAATTACTGGTCTTATGTTTGCCCTATATCACAAGAGAATTTTGGGCTTTAGCAACAATTTTGTTCCACCTTAAATATCACATAATCAATGGAACTATAATTTTTCAAAAGTTAATTAAAATTCTTGAAATTATAATTTTGAAACTCCAAAATTTCAATCACCTGCTTAATTTGGAATTTTGATTTGTGTATTTATCTGGGCATTCATTGTATATGGAAAATATTTTGATATTTCTATTGTTAATTGACAACCATTTATTATAATCGTAGGAACGCGTATCCAACATTGCTTACAACGTTGTAAATGGCATCTGCTCTCCTGTAAAAGACCAATCTGCCCCTGTATACATAACAATTGGCGACGGTGGAAATCTTGAAGGCCTAGCAACCAAGTAAGATTAGTATATACCATAGAATCGGTCTTCTTTGATATGATTGCCTCCATTTTTTAAACTTAAATCCATTCTTTTGTGGGGCAGCATGACAGAGCCACAGCCGAAGTACTCAGCTTTTCGTGAGGCGAGTTTTGGTCATGCCATTTTTGATATTAAGAACCGCACACATGCTTATTATAGTTGGCACCGTAATCAAGATGGCAATGCTGTGGAAGCTGATTCTTTATGGTTTTTCAACCGAATTTGGCATCAAGTTGATGATTCTACAAGCACCCATTGATGATGACAGTATCAAGCATGCGAAAAACAAAAAAAAAAGAGCAAAAAAAGCCAAAGTGATGTGATATATTGTGTACTCTATAATAAGTTCTCCATTCATAGTCAATAAAGATTTCAAGCTTTTCTTTTGTTCTACACTTAAATTGTATCATCTTTTTATCTGCTAACTAGTGCTGTTGATGCATCTCCTCATTTGCGACTGAAAAAGTGTGGTGAATAATATGAATTCGCTTGTTCTTTTGAGATTTAGACAGTAAAAGGGAATTGTGAATAATTGATTCTGATGGTTTCAATCATCTTGGAATTCCTGAGATAGAATCAAACACAAAGACAATTGTATGAAATAGCCCAACAGTTTCTTTTCTGATATTGAAGTGTCAACATTTATTGCCAAATTGTCTGAGTTAGAATTTTCATCGTCAACTGAATGACAACCATGAATGCCACGCATGAGAACTAGAAAAGAACTAATGATCATTAAAAATATGAATAATGTTAGAAATTTTAAAAGTTTTATCAAAATCTTTATTAAATGTCTCATATAAGTGTGATACTGACATTTGAGATCTCTAATGCGGTGTTTGGTTAGGAGATTTGGGGAGGGATTTTGAAAGGAAAATAAAAAAGGTAGGTGAAATGTGAATAAAACATGTCTATATTTCATTTATTTTCACACACTTTTTCCCTTTCTTTTTCCAAATCTCTCTCCAAATTCCCTAACCAAACACAGCATAAAAGTTTTCTAAAAACATAGAAACTCTATTTTCTTTTCTTTTCTTCTCTCCCATCATCTAATCCAAATGGGCGAATTCAAATTGTGCTATTACCAATAAGTGGAGGTTCTGAATGGAGTTGTCCCTAGGTGGAGACTGGAGAGGTCCTGAGTTGAGTCATCCCCCTATTGAGGTTAAAATACGGCCACTGGTTTTGTACCTAGTCTAATGATAATTGTTAAAAAAACATCCTTGTGGCTAATTATATACGTTTTATCTACTTTCCCAAGGTCAACTAATTAATACATTAAGGCCTCGTTTGGAATAAGTTATTTTAGTAATTTTTTAATTTTTTGATTAAAATATGAGATGAAAAATACTTGTATATTTAAGATGACTTTTTAATTTTTTACAAAAAGATGTGCAAAAAGTAGAGAAAAAAGAAAATCTTTAACTTTTGGTATATGTTATAGTCTTTTTAATTTTTTTAGTAACTTTTAACTTTTAAGTTAAAATTATTACTTTCCAAACGAGACTTAAGCTCTCGTTTGGTATGTAAGTTAGAAGGGTTATCAAGTTAAAATAGTTATAAAAAGACAAAATAAATTAAAAAGTTAACAAGATAAAATATCACATTCAAATTATAATTATTTTTTTTTCTTGTAAAAGTTAAAATAATAAAAAAAATTATTTTAAATGAGATTTCTTAGCCTTAAGGTAAAAAAGTTTAAAAAAATCAAAAGTCAATACAAATTTCAAATTAAATCTAATTAAAAAAAATTAATTTGACTTTTCTTCGTTAAAATCATGGAACTAAATGCACTGTCACAAAACCCAGTCATATATGATCCAAACATAATTTGACTTTTCTTCGTTAAAATCATGGAACTAAGTGCACGGTCGCCAAACCCAATCATATATGATCCCCATGAACAATGAGGAGATTGTTTAGGATGGGTTAAATAAGTATGTTTTTTAATTTTTTATAAATTAATATATAAAAATTATAGAGGTATTTTGTTTTAAAAAAAATAAAAAAATAAATAATGTAAAATTGTCATTGGACAATCATATTTGGCAATGCGCTTAATAAGTGTGTTTATTTATTATAAATTGTTATGTTAATTTTATATTTTTTATAAAAAATTAAAAAATTACTAAATTTTATATTTTTTATAAAAAATTAAAAAATTACTAAATAAACAAACTCCAATCCACTCCAAAATATAAAAAATATTGTTTGATCAGATTAACCATCTTATTTTGTATAAAAAAAATAAAATAAAATTTGACAGGTGAAATATTTTTTAAAAAGGCTTAAAAGGAAGCAAATTGTAAAATCTATTCAGATTAAATTGAAATTTTTAAATCAATTCATCTAGACAAATTCTGCAGAGTTTTGATTTGTAAAAATAAAAAGTATTTTTCTACATTTTAGACTAATAAGCCATGTTTAAAATTTTAAAATTTTATTACTATATGTAGCATGGATTATAAATGAATATTAACTTATACATCAATTAAATCCTACATGTACTTCAATTTTTTCGTATGCCATGTACAATCGGTGTGGTTTTATTTTTTTAATATGTTTTCAAAATTAAAAAAAAAAAAAATTGTTAACAAAAATAAACACTAAAAAAATATTTACATTTTTTATTTACTTTAAACACCTTTGGGATCTCAACCATTGATGGTGTAGGTCCCAAACATACATGAGTGAGTCCCACATATACATCAATGATTAAGATCCAAAAAGGGTTGTGAGGGTCTCCAAAAAAGGGGTTCCCAAACATTTTTCTACTTTAAAATATATAAAATTATCAATAATGACTTTGATCTCCCTTTTTTTTTCCACTCCCTTTACCTCCTCTTTACTTGATTGACTATTTTTTTTTTTCCTCCTCCAATCACCACCCGCCACGTGTGTGTGGGATGGTGACTGGAGGGGGTCTCAATCATCACCCTAAAATTGTATGAAAATAATAGAGTGTTTATGCGTGCGTTTGGTTTGACATTTTTGGATTAAGTTTTTTGAAATTAAGTTTTTTTATTTTTCGTATTTTTTTGTTTTTAATGAATATTTTTAAAATTATAAGTTTTATTTATTTATTTATTTATTTATATGCATGTTTCTAAAAAGTAAATAAAAAAACAAAAATGTTTCATGCCCCCTTTTCTCCCCACCCCCTTTGACCCCCTCTCTCTCTCATTGGATACATTTTCTTTTTCTTTTTTCTTTTTTTCCTGCTCCTCCAATCACCACCCGCCACGTGTCTGTGGGGTTGTGGGAGTGGTGATTAGAGGGGTCTCTATCATAACTCATAAAAAAAATTGTGAAAAAATATTTTAAAAAATTAATAAATACATAAAAATACGAAATATATACTAAATTCTTATATTTTTTTTATATTTTTGGTATTTAGTAAATTTTTAAAAGATTTTTTTCACAAAAATTATACTTTTTATATATATTTATGTTAGATTTATCTAAAAATTAAAAAAATTACTTAAAATATTAAAAAATATATAAAAAATAAGAAAGTAAAATTTCTTAAAAGTATTTTTGAAAAACCAAAACAAGCAAGAAAATTATATTTTTTTTAACAAATTAATTTCTAACCTTTTTTAAATCTTAAAAAAAAATAAAATAATAGATGCAATTTCTAACCTTTTTTAAATCTTAAAAAAAAAAAATAAAAAAAATAGATGCCTTCAAAATCAAACCAAACCAAGCAAACATAAACTCAAAACCTCCTCAACAAACACAACAGTCGCGCGATTCGTCTCTGTACTCTTTCACAATTCGAGTTCTTTGTCGAAAACTTGATCTAACAGGTCTCTCTTCTACTAAAAAATAATTCAAATCTCCGATCTCAAAGACTCAAAACATATATATATATATCAGTGCGATTTGCAGGAACTGTGTCTGATCAACGGTTGCTGATGAGGGATTCACAGAAGCTTCCATAGAATGGCAGAGCAGGCGATCGAGAAGAGCTCGTCTGAAGCGGAGACGAAGAAGAAGAAAGAGGACCTCACAGATCCAGAATTCTTCAGCTGCGTCCTTCAGCCTTCCCCTGCCGACTCCGATGCCGATTACATCGGAATTCGTCGCCTTCTTCTCCATCGCAAGGCTCAATCTGGTGTTCTTCGACGCAAGGTTTGATTTATATACATACTTGTATCTATGTATTGTAATTTTAGATCTGTGTTTGGATTAGAAAAAAATGAATGTATAGAAGTGTGTCAATCTAATGTCCACGATATTGCATTGTGATATTCAAAATGATGTTATTAGTATGAGTGAAAGTGAATCTAGCTACTTGATATAAGAGATTTTGGATGTAAGATCGCAAGATGATGTCTTAGTTTGTATGGATTGAGTGATTTGGTGATTGGTTGTGTATTTTTTCATAATACGGAGAACTCCCATTTTTCACTTGCATTTAGTTGGATTGGTTGAATGCAAATTGTCTGGTGATCAGAGATAGTGTAATTGATTGGAGATCTGCTGGAATCATTTCTGATCAAGGGGCTTCTTCTGTTAAGAAGCTTGTTGGATGATGTTCAAGGCTCTCAGGGCACATGTTACCAATTTACCGTTGTTGAGTCTGATTCTTTTGAGCTTATGGGTCTTATAAAAGATGCTAGTTTTCAGTCTTTTATTTAAAGACATCATAGCCAGATAAACATTTCTTCATATAGTGTTGTACATACGAACAAACAAAACTCAAAAAAATTTCTTATAAACTGATGTGGCACCTGTCATGTTAGTCAATTGGGTCTTATTTTCCAAAATTTTATCACTGTATGCCATGTCAGTTTTGTAAGAAATGTTTGTAAAAAAAATGTATGTATAGAATTTTCCTTTTTAATAAGGCGGTTTTTCTGACTAAAATTCGGTGACAAGAAGGCAGTTTTTTGGGTGGCAACTGAAGCTCATAGAAGGTTGTTTTGTTTTCCCTAGACTGCTCATCTATTTCCCTCTCCCCTCTTTGGTAGAGCTTATTTACACCATTGCAGATGCGTCCAAGAATTATTACATATTAGGGAACATTATTTCGAAACATCAATAACTCCTACTTATAGCTATCTATTTTAGAAGAAACTGTGCATTTGCACTATTTTGTTGCTTTGCTGTGACTAGGACAGGAGCATTAATAATTAATAGTGGGAGCAAGGAAATTTATTATTAGTATTTTAAAGTATTATTTCTCTTGTACATCTGTATGCGAAGAGTTTCAATTTCTTTGTATGAGTTTCTACATAGAGATCTCATGTATATCTTTCTATTCCCCTTTGATCGACAAAACCTTGGCTTAGGTGTTGATAGGATAGGAAATTTGTGGCCAACAGATATTTATCACAAAAAAAAAAAAAAAAATTGTGGCCAACAGATCTAATCATCTAAATGGTTAAGAATTTCACCGTGCATATTTGTAAGGGTTTATGTGCATATATATTTATGCTTGCACGTATATCTATCCATGAATTTGATCTAATAATTTGTACTATCATAGGATTTTTATAAAATTTATTGAAATTATTAGGGTAAGAATTGAATGGACTTTGAATCCCTATAACTATGAATGAATGAATAGATTGACAGTTTACATAGGATTCCAATATAGAAATCTATCATCATGAATGGAGTCATTTAAGGAAATGAAGCCATCTTAATTAATTTTAAAAAGTTGGCCTTTTGTCACTTCAGAGAAACTTAAAGTTGATCACTTGCTATGAAATATGGTGAAGTCCCCTAGTTTCCACAATGGCTCCATTTAAGGAATGGGTTTGCATTTAGCCATAGAAAGTAAAATGAGACCTATCAAATATGAAGGGATATCTCCCGATGTGTTGAAAGATTTACTATGGTAAATCAGGTGCTGAGAAGCATGAATTTGGAGAGGAAACATAATACAACATGATACGGACACGCAAGCATGACAATTTAAAAAAAAATGATATACAACACTGTTGGATTTGCGAAGTCTGAAAAGGGGAAAAAAATTGAAAATATTGTTTTGGACAATCGACAGTTTTGGAAGGGTGTTTCTACCTGCTTGAAGGCTGCAGTACCTCTCATTAAGGTACTTAGGTTGGTGGATTCGG